AAATAATTAAGCTATTAGACATTTAAACTTCAAGTTTCTTTAAGTTACTGAAAAAATAACTTTTCTTTTTGGCATGAATGCTAGTTAGCTAACAGGAAGTTGTGCTCCACAAACTGAGAGAACAAATATTATTATATTATTATTATATTTTGAACTAAATGAGGTAAAAACCGTGCTGCACCAGTTGCAGGCGTGACAGAGTGGCTTGGCCGCCCCCCATTAAAAGGGAGTTGGAGTATTCAAAGCCTGAGGTGACAAAGCATGGATGACAGTTTCCAAGTTCATGCCTGGACAGAAAGGGCTTTAGCTTCGATCTGACGTGATAGAATGAAGATTTCATCGCCCCATTTATGTGGCCATCAAAACTAAGTGCAGTGTCGATTTTTACCCCAAGATTAGTAACAGAGCTCTTCAAGCGAGGGCTCAGAGCAGCAAAGTGAACATTTGAGATACCAGAAGAACGATTGGGACTGAATAAAATTGCTTCCACTTTTTGTTCATCAAAATGTAAAACATTTTGAGCCATCCATGATTTAACTTTGCTAAGACAATCAAGCAGGAGTCCAATCGATGAGCTATCAGAGTGATTGAAAGGTAGATAAAGCTGGCAATCATCAGCATATAGATGAAATGAAATTTCATGTTTTCAGAAAATCACACCAAGTGGCAGGAGATACAATGAAAACAGTAGTAAAGTGTTCCTGGGTGAGATGTGGACATGCCAGGAACACCCAGGAGATGCTCTGGAGGCATCCTGGTCAGATTCCCAAACCAATGAACAGAATCTGTGACAAAGGGCAGCTCTGGCAGAGTCCAACACCCACTGGGAACGAGTTCCACTTATTGACAGCTATGAGGACCAAGGTCTTGTAACGGTTTTATGAGGATCTAATGATCCATAGCAATGGCTCGACTAGTGGACAGACTCTCCTTTCCAGCACCCTGCCTTATACAGCACTAACTAATACGCACACTAACTAATATACACACTAACTAATACACACACTAACTAATACACACACGAAGACCTAAAATGAATACTGAATATCAAAATATTGCAGCATGGTATTCTGACAGTTGGCATGGTGGTGGAGGTTTGGCACCATCACCAAACACCACGAAGGTCAAGAGTTTGAGTCTTGTTAGATTAACTGACAGTGATGTCTCTGTTATGGACTGCCAACCTGTCCATGATGTGCCCTGGTTTTTTGATCACTGACAGCTGGTGTAAGCATTCTGGGTTTGCTGTGAAGAAAATGGATGGATATTTATTCAGAACAAACCAAATACTTAACAGCAGTACGTGAAAACAACATCACCTCAACAGAAATTCAGTTTGGCCAACTAAATAGACAAAGAAGATAGAAATCAAAGTTTTTCCTCAAAGTGGATTCTTTGTTATCATTATTTATAAAGGGATATGATGGTAGTCCACCCCTCCCTTAAGTTCAAGGTAAACGTTTTGTAGGTCTCCCAGGTTTCAAGGATGTTCCTTAGAGGGCAAGCCAAATTTCTGGATGAGAACTTTGAAATAAGTGGCAGTCTTCTTCATGTGTCGTCGTCTTCTATTGGCTGCTGCTTTAGCTGGTTCCACAGGAGGTCTTATCTCATCCTATCCCAGCATCCTCCTCGGTCACACCAACCCTCTGCACGTCCTCCTTCAGGACATCCATGAACCTACTCTTTGGGTTTCTTCTTTTCCCCCTGGCATCTCCATAGTTACCATCCCCCACCTATCAGTTGTAGTCAGTCATGCCAAGTAAAGAGTTAATTGGTCTGCATCCTGTCAAATTCAAATTACCATGGCAACCATGCCCATGTGAGCTGGCTCCACATTTGGATTCTGGTTTTGATGCAGGTCGGTGTGAAGTTTGATGATCATCGTGACGGTGGTCCTCTCCTCTTTGGTGGTGATTGTCTGTCTGTGTGTCCTCCAGTGTCTCTGTCTGTCAGTGCAAACCTTCAGCAGTTCTTCAGTGGATCTTCTTCAGTGTCTCTGAGTTGTGTTGATGATGGACAGACAGCTGATGGATGGACAGTGAAGATGACCAGTGGAGGACCCACTGAGGACTGTGGAGCAGCTGAGATGAGTGGAAGTTTGTGCGTTTTGGATCGTAACTCGTCCTACGGTGGAACCTTCTGGTGTGAAAGCTCATCTGGACAGCAGAGCGATGAAGTGTCCATCAGTGTTTCAGGTACAGTGAGATGTTCCAGCTGTCCATCTGTCTCTGTGTGACTCCAATCTGATGGTGGAAGTCTGTCTCTGTTTACCTGCTATTCAGAAAAAGGTGTGATCCTGGTGATCCCTGCACTTCCTGTGAAACCAGGAAGTGATGTCACTCTGCAATGCAAGAAGAAGAGTGGTGAAACAGTTCTTCTTTTTTCTTTTTTCTTCATGAATGGACGTCTCCTTGGGTCTAAAGCAGAACACGTTATCACCAATGTCAGGCACTCTGATGAAGGTCTCTACTGGTGCGCTTCTAACACATTTGGATCATCTCCTCAGAGCTTTCTGAGGGTCAGAGGTCAGAACACTGACATAACTCCGTGTTTAAAGACCTGACCTGCTGAGCTGACTCATTAACCTGTTTCATCATGTCTCCTGCAGGGTCTCCTATAACTACTCTCAGAAAGTCTGTCCCTCCACCTCCAGTTTCTGAGGCCAGTTCTTCTCTGTCCACTCTTCCTCCTTTCACCAACTCTTCCTCCCCTTCTTCTCCCTCTGTGTCTTGGATCAGAGTCATCTGCCACCTGTTGGCCTTCTGCCCGTACTGCATCTGCACCATCCTGCTCCTGTCCATCTGCTGCAGCAGGAGCTCAGGTACAAACTCAGGCAGATACTCACAGAAAACCCTTTGATCACGTCAGCACCGTCCTGATTTCTCCACTCTGCCCACAGGTAACAAACATGCTGTCTCCATGGAGATGCCATTGGATGTTGACGAGCATGATGACACCACTGAGCGGATGATCCTCTGATAGAATTACATGTTTCTAAAGCTGAAAACTCTGAAGTCCTCACTCTGAGTTTCTCAATCAGAACCTGATCTGTTCACTGATCGATCGATAACCCTCAAACTACTGATGAATTACTGAATTATTGGATGAAAGCTTTGTTTGAGCATCTTCAAACATTGAAATCTCTGTGCACCTCTCTCAAGTTATTTACTGCATTTCATGTATTTACCACTGATTCCCAACCTTTGGGAGCCACGGCACATATTTCACATTAGAAAAATCACACCACCAACAAAAATATCACAGAAAGTATATAGATAGTTTTCCCTGTGCACCAGGTACAGTGGTATTGGCTCGGTTTGTCCCCAGTGTACCTGTTGTACTTTCTTCTGACCACTACTCATGCTAGGGCCTTCATCTGCGTCTGAGTTTTCTCCAGGACCAGGTCCGATTGTTTTACTGCCAGTTGGCAACTCATTTAATTAGAGCTGGTAGTTGTACTGCCCTCTAGTGGAAGAGAATGTAATCGTTCCACCAGTTACTCGATTACTTCGAGGACTAATCAGGTCGAACCAGATAATCTTCCACGGCACACCTGATCATTTCTCAGGGCACACCTATGTGCTGCGCCACAGTGGTTGGGAAACACTGGGATATATGATATCAAACACTGAGAGCGTTCGCCGGTGTTTTACAGAATGATGGTGAAAGAAATGGTTGATGCACTTTCAGTTCTTCAGCTTTGTTAAGGTTTTATTTTAATCAGCAGGAGAAAAAAAGCCATGTCGTTTTAGGAGATTATCATATTTATTACCAATCCCAGGTTTATGCCACGGCTGACTAAATACAGTCAATCCAACAGTGTGCACGACCTCTTTAAAAAATGATATTTCAATGCTCAGATCCATGAATTTTCAGTTCCATGGATAAAACGATAAAATTAAACCAGATTGTATTCCATTAAGATTCCAAATTACAGTTTTTGACTTTCATCCCTGAAGAGGAACTTTGTGTTTTTGAGTCTTTTTGAGATGTCCAGTGTGTCGGCTCAAATTTGGATTTATAAAAAACAAATTCAGGTTCCAAAAGGTAAAACAGGGAGAACTCAGCAAAAACGAGGGTTTGATGACAGGAGGTTTAATAAGTGTGTTGATCAGTGTTTGTGGAAGCTCTGACAGAGTTAGTTCAGTTCTGAAACTTTACTGTGGCCTCACAGCTCTTCTTCTACTGTGTCACTGAAGAACCTTCAAACTCTCTGAGCTGGTTTCCTCCTCAGTCCTGTTTGATGACAGAAAGCACCAAACTGATGATGATGGTTATTAACACATTATTGATCAACTTGTTTCTTTACTAACCAACAAATT